ATTACGTTGTATATTATAATAATATTATATAATCTCGACGCGAGGTGAGAGAGACGGTAGTTTTGTTGTTCGCCACCGCCGCCGAGCGTCGAATTAATATTATAATATCACGAACGAACGGAACCATCATCATTGCGTTTCGTAGTCGGTTTTCCGCCGAACAGTTTTCCGCATATTATTATAAAATGTATATGACAGTCGTACCGTTGCCGTATGACAAGGAATTATTATATTGTATTATCCTTTTTTCACGCGCGCGCTCGTTCGTCGACTCCTCGACACCGCAGCCACCGCCTCGCCACTACCGACGTCTGTGTAGTCGTCGTCGTGATTAATAACGCTCACCTTTTCCGACAATTAATCGCCGCCCCCTCCAACCCCTTATAACCGCTGCCGTCGCCATTCAATGCACAGCTCGCTCTCTCTCTCTCTCTCTCTTTTCGACAGTCTGTGGGTGGTTCGAGACGAGAGACCGCCGTCGTCATCTCATCGAGTCACATCGCGTTCATTCTTTTCACCTCGGCGGCCGCGCCGGAGAAAAATTCTATACGCCTCGTGACGGCCGGGTCAGTGACGATGACGAGACGACGACGACGACGTTTCCTGCGCAGCCCACGTCCCGCCGACAGAAGGGTGCAGCGGCGGCGGCGGCGGCAACGGTATATTATTATACGCGCGCATGAATCATCGCCCCGTCCGCTGCACTCCCCGCCCGGCCCGCCGCCGACCCCTCGCGCGACACCGGCATAATTTTGTTTTACGGTTGACAAAACGATTAATCGTTTATATAGACACACACGCGCACGCATGCAAAACGGTGGGAGGGGACGGACAACCGTATATACACGTATATTATAATATATTATTATTATAATGTATCGTACGGCGAGGAGACCCTCCGAAAAGAGGAAGGGTTATTGGCCGCGGTCGTATTTTTTTAAGTTCACCGCCGCCACGGACGTCATAACAAAATATAATATAATATTTAGGTGCGCGATAGTAATATAATATAGCTAGGTATTGCAGGCGTACAGCTGGGGTACGTAAGTACGTTAACATGAAGTAAATGCGGCGCAGGAGGGATACGATGTTTTTCACTGCGGTCGTCAAAGTACAGATAGCCTTATACAGTTATACCTATATTGCCTACAGGTATACAACAACATCATTATATCGCTGATATCATATTATAATTTATAATAATTAATATTTGATACTACCACGAGTCGAAAATATACAATGAAGATATTATATAGGTATAGGTATATAATATACACTATATTACATAGGTACTACCTAATACCGATATCATATAAAAGTTCTGGTGTAACTACTTTAAATTATAATTCCACTATATATAAATTCATATAGAGAGTAAAGTTGTTCAGCGCCAAACAGTTTTTTCTATGTTGTAAATTTGTAAGACGGAGACATCACATGTGGGTGTGACGTCCTCTTAAACCGTTTTTGAATTTCCAACTAAAAAAAATATTAACAATGAATCAAATATTATTGATATAGCTAATATTTTGTCAAGCAAATAACAAGACGAAAGACGAATTGTGAATGGGGAATGTCTCTCGGTGTTCAATTCTGCTCATTAATTTCGGCTAAACTTTTTTACATATACCTACCCGAATACCTGATGTATGTCTGCGTGTATATCTGCATAAGCCGACGTTTTTAATAATTTCAACTATAATAATATTAAGCTGTACTTACTGCTGTTGTAGCATCGATGGAGGGTTTCATCTTGCTCAGATCCTATACAAGTCGTCGTGTCGTCGTCCGATACCTATATATGATGTATGTATGTATATGTGTGTGTGTATATATATATATGTATATACCATATACGCATAGTGTCCCGGACGATAATAATATAATTAATTTAATAGATTCTACGGGGTGGTTTTATTTTTTTACATTCTTCAAATATATATATATATATATATATAAGTAGACTTTGGGTAAGGAAAAAACCCGAAAAGATATCTATCGCCGCCGCGTTTCTATTGCGTATATATATATGTGTGTGTGTGTGTACGGCGTGCATACACTGCACATATAAAAGAGGTCCAATTTTCCGGACGATTGTCGTGCAAGCCCATTGTGCGGTATATTGTACGTGCATTTGTGCTCCTCGTATACATATATATATCTAACGTATACAGTTTTTACATCCGGTTTTTATCTCCGATCGCGCTCTCTCGTGTATATTACTGTGGCGGTGTCGTATACATATAAGCGGAGTGAAATCGTCCTAGAGATCACCGCGACAGATACCGGGGTCCACGACGACTACGATCTCGCAAAATAATATAATATGTAAAAAGGGATTTTTCCCGTATATATACATGCACCCGCACCCGCACACCCACGCACCCACGTAAGTCTTCGTTTCTCGTACAAAAACGTATTAAATAATAAATATAATATGTATATATCGGTTTTAGCCTTGGAGGTTTTTAATATAATTGCATTAGCCGACATTATATTACGAGGAAAAAAGTCGTCAGCGCGTCTCCTCTCCCGCCGCAGCCCGCGTGTCAGTATATACGTATTATAATATTTATATTTTTTTTATACATAACGTATATAATGTCCGCACCGGATCATATTATTATATTCCCGGACCTAATAAGCTGCGATGGTATATATTTACACGTATTTATTATTATTATTATTATTATATATCATCGTCATTATTGTTCAGTTGCTCGCCCGAGGGACAAAAACCGTATATATATAGTATATACACATTACACATACCTATATAATATTATCCACGAATAATGAGTATATATTGTGATATATTATATTGTATATTATAATAATTTTTAATTTTTCAAACGCACCTCTATACATCAAGCGTTTGAGTTATATTATATTAAATTATAATAATAATAATTATAATATTATAATATTATTATTATTATATACTCTGCCGAACGACCGCTGCTATTGGGACGATCTTAAATATATTACTATAATGTTATCAACCGTTATTCTAATCGAGGAATTCGACGTAGGTTACCCACTTACTCGGAACGGTTTGACAAATTAATTTTTACCGTGTAATGTGTATATATATAATATATATATACTATATTATTCTATTTAATAGGTATTTGATTCGAACGGGAATCTGGTCTATGACAAAACAATCGACCCGCCGATTGTAATAATCTTATCAAATGTAATCACTACGGTGATGATGACAAAATGTACCCATTTAAAAAAAAAATACAACCAACGTCTCGACGTTGACGTGGAATGTTTTTTACAACACTGTTATTCTACATTTCTACGAATACCTAAATAATCGAAATCAAAACTGTATAGTATAATATTATATGAGTCATTGCTCATTAGCAATATACTATCCATTAGGTATTTTCTTATAAATATATTATGTATATTTAGAATCTATATATTATTCTGATTCACGACTGTTTATTTTACCTATACACAATAGAGAACGTTTTAAACTTTTTTTCATTTAAATTCATTTAAAATTTGTGATTAAATTTTAAATGTCTAGTCATTACGTTTTTTATTCGCGTAAAATGTACAAGCGTATAGAAGTATATAAAACAGTGTTATTTTTATTTGCATGCATTTTGTGTTAAAAATCATCTAAAACGCAACGTAAACGAGTACCTAAATTTAAGATGGCATCATAAATTATTGTAAATATGACGTCAATTCGCTTGTTTACCGAATAATATTCTTATATTCACATTTCTAGCGCATATACGTGTGTATAGAAGAACCATTTGATTCGTTTTTTCAAAAACTTCTGTTTCTATGTCTGATGCGAAATAAACATTACGTTTTTACCGTTTTTTTAACGCCTTGATAGCATATACTAATGCGATTATTAACGACGTCGCTCTTCTGGTATAATAATACTATATAATAATATGTAAATATACATTTGGATAATGTGTTTATATAGCTATTAAAAGGTCTACAATCTTGTCACGAACTGATTGGCCCGACATCATATGTAAACCTTTGCAGCTGCGCTTTGAGTAATTTAAACAAAACTCGGCTTCATATTATACCGGAACTCAAGTTCGGCACATGGCATACAATTATCCAAACCCAAATCAGTATACCTAGGTCTAAGTACCTACAATACTTGAAACTAAAGAAAAATCATATTTTTACATTATATTCTCGGCGACCAGTACGAAACTTTCACTTACGGCCCGCCGCCGAGGTCTTAAACCGTCGCCCGGCCACTTGTTATATTATATAACTCGGGAGCGAGAGCGAATAATATGACAATGACTACCGCGGCGGACGACGATAATGATGACAACGATATAATAATAATTACAATTATTCGCGTCAGCGGGCGGCCACAGCCGCCAGCGAAGAAGAAGAAGATCCGTCGACGACGGACGCAGGAGGCGGCCACGGCCGGGAGGTTATATGGGATGCGGCCGCCCCGAAAGCGCCGCGCGCCGTGCTTACCTCCACAGCCGCCGCCCGCACATCAAGAGTGATCGGCGTCGGTCGGAGGGGCTCGGGGCCAGGCGGCGGCCGCCGCCGGTGACGCGTGCGTGCGGCGGCGCGGACCGTCGACGGCGGTGTCGAGGCGGCGGCGGCGGGCGTAGGCGCGGGCCCGTGAGTTTTGCCCGCCAGTATGCCGCCATGCTTTGCGCTTGACGCCCGCGACCAGCAGCTGCAGTCCGGACGCAACCGTCACGCCAAGCCGACGACTCTACTCCTGCAGCAGCAATCGCACTTGCGTCGTCTGTCCGCCACTATTATCACAGCACCGGTAGCCGCCCGCGCTCATAATATTATATCGTTATAAATTATTGTTATATTATTTAACATCGGATCGGTCCTATATAATTACGGTTCTCGTTTTTTAACAACCTTATCAATATAATTTCGTCATCGCATCGTATCCATAGTATTGCAATACTATCGGCTCGGCACTCGCTAGCTGTCACTCACGCGCGCGCACGCTGCACCCGATCATGTATACCGCTGGAGCCGCCGCCGCCGCCGCCGCAGCTGCAGCGGCCAACGGATCACCTTTCGACAGCAGCTACTCGTACCGCCTGTGGTGTTTAGCCAACGTGTGGAGCTGCAATCGTAAGTCTGCACATTATGATATAAAATAATATGTTACATACCTTCGCCTTTACGGCTACGTATACCTACCTGCCTACTTTTGTTATTCTTTCATCCGCTCAATGGTCGTTGCCGTCGTATATGTTATTATATAGACATAGCTTTTGTCGCAAAGAGATTTTCTCAAATATTAAAACTCCTACAATACGATCCGCACCGATCCGGTAAACACCTATAAAGCCTATTACCTACACTGACTATTTGTCTATTATAGACAAAACAAAACAAAAATCTCGTTATTGTTTTACCTCTTCGTCATAATACTTATATCGTACGTCTTATTGTGTACACTCGTGCCGTCGTTATTAGCCCTTGGGATTAGTCTCACCATCTTAAAATACATGCGCGGCCTTGTACACACGGACTGCTGTTTTTTTTTATGTTCGAAATTATATCGTATTCTAATTTTCTTAATATTCCTTATTTTCTTAAATATTTGTATCACTATTATCGCCATTCTGTACAATTTACGAGTGCAAAACTACCTGTACCTACACGTCTCGATTCTTAAATAAAACGTGTTTGCATGCAATATTATTATTATTATTATTATTATTATTAATAAATCATAAATCATATTCGTCGTGTAAAGATTATGAAAATTCAACTATTCTATTATGAGTTGTATACCATATCGCAAGAGTATAAATAATATTTATTAAATTTATACTCGATGTTTATTTTTGTCCCAGGTTTGATAAAATAATACCTATTTCATGTAAAAAAAGTTTATTCCCCGCCTACAGCGAGATAGGGTATACTGTAACTGTTATCTATCAAGAAATCAAGAGTGGGAAATCCTTATTTTTGGAGGTTTTATACAACGGCGTAATATTCTGAAACTGCCGAGTTATTTTAAATAGACATTCAAAGATTATCTATAGCCCCGAAGTTTAATGTAAAATAAAAAACAATTTGTTATATTATTATTATTCATTTATTCTTCTACGTTGAATTGGTATTGTTAAAAGATAGGTATTCAAAATCTTCAAAATATTTTGAAAATCAGTGTATCATACCTATTTGCGAATAGCAATAATTAAACATGTATGCAAATAAAGAAGCTTTTATAGGTAATATTAACCTACCTGTTAATTGTTATACAATAATTTTATAATAATAAAATAAAATATCTTTAAAAAACCGATGATATAATATAATTTAATATAATATAATATAATTTACATAATATAACATGAATATTATACTCATAAAAATTTTTTATTTTAGAAATACCTAATTCTTTTTAACAACAAATAAAAGCATTAAACAATTATCGTTTTTCACGTTTGATGTATTCTCCCCCTTTGGTGTTTTTTACGTACTATGTAATAAAATATACATTTGTCACGGACATCGGGACATCGCAAAAATCAAACGTGTTGGTGTGTGTCAATTGATATGCTATTTTAAATATAAACACGTTTATACGCGCGTATTTTATAGCGGCCGTACCGTATTTTTTACTATAAAGTATAATATACGATTTTGTGTAGCTTAAATTTTTTTTGGTTTAGGTGTTTGAGGTAATATTTACTTCCAAAAACTACAGTTATGACAATAATATAATAATATTATTGTTTATACTATTATATTAATGACGTGTTGTCAAACAATATTATTATAATATGGTAGGTACCTATACCTATGTTTACGCGAAATGTAAATGTGTGTATATAAAAAAATGTAAATAACTGAAATAGTGTAAAATAGGTAGTTATGTAGTATACCTATATACATACGTGAGAAATAATATCCAAAAACATTAGGCATAACAATAATTATAACTAAAATATGATAATTTGTTATAGTTATACCTTGTGCATTTTTTATTCTGTACGATGTCGGATGTATGTAAGTACTTACGGTAAATAATTTACCTAAATACTCACTTTCGTATTGAAGTTACGAAAATCAACTTATATCGTTTTATAATTATTTGTTATTATCTTTCCCGATAACATTTTACGTATTCCATCGCTGATGGGTTGTAGGGAAATATAATCGTCCATTAAATCGTTACAATATAATATATTTTATTGTCGGTAAATTATAATGACGGATAAACGTTTCTATACTTCTTGCCTGTATATATTTATATGAATACATATGTATAGCAATAAAATTACGTTACGTATAATTTATATTATACATGGTAAAAGAGCACCCGCGCAATCAAAAGGTTACAGGACCTTTCTTTAAATACGACATTGTCGTTATCGCGAAAACGACCGAATCAATTTAATCGAAACATTAAAAAATAAAACGTACACGTATGCTGGCCCATATGATGAGTATAATATAGTATGTACTCGTCTTCTCTGAAAGTAAAAAAGTAAAAGTTACCTATTATTAAAAACTCGATCTAGGTCTAATTAAAATACGTCGAATACATATGGTACTCAATAAAATATAATACAACGATCTAATCGTTAGTTCTTCGGTGAGATATGTTATTATTATTAGTGACATTCGTTCTCATTCATTTATGTACAATAAACAGGCTGCGTCGGACGCCGTCATCCCTTTTTCGCCACACAAGCCGTCCAAATGTTACAGTAAATATTAAGCTATATAAACTCGGGTTCAAAATTATTGTCGAGTTGTCGACATTATAGAAAATGTGTACATTTAATATAATATTGTGATGAAAAAAAATCACCGTACGTACAAAATATAATAATATGTATATATATATATATATAAATCGAAGTGATGGAGAACAATGACTGCGTCTTATAATTAGATAACGTAAATATGACTAAATAACATTATAATATATCAGCTGATTACTAAGATTATGTATACATATAATATACTATTATATGTCATCTATATTTTACTTAGGTGCGTATACACACAACACACATAAAAAAAACCGTAGTGGTTCAATGCACGTTCCATTTTAATATCTACAGACTATACAATATTATGATGTGTATATAAATTCTGAAAGTAAACAGTATATAACACATTATAATTATGTTACACATCATATCATTACTATACATATTATTGTATAGTCGTCGTGTGTCTCATCCGTATACATAATATAATACCCCGCGACGATTTCCTTTTGGTCGGACCACCGCCACCGTGCGTATAATATTAGCGGCTATTTGATTATTCCATTGAGCTTCGTTGTTGTTATTCTATATAATATTTATTATTCCTCTTGCACAATGGTCAATTATTGTGTGGTACAGTTGCTTTTTTTTCTTCTAAAAAAAAATAAAACACACGCCGTCGTATGTTATTTCCTCTGAAAAACGCCGCAGCCACCCGAACTCTCATTTATTAACGTTTTTTTTTTTTATATTCCGATATTCGTGTATTATAATTTATAAACAAATTGTGCTCGATCCGGAACAAAAAAAAAAATTAAAAATAAAACGCTTCGATTAACTTATATGTGTTAAATGGTCAATGGTCATCGTCGGATGTTCGCAAATCTAATATACCTACACATGGCTACATATAATATTATAATTTATAATATATAGTATAGTAGAGTGTATATGCTATATATATACGTGTGGTACTGTGGTATAGTGTGTGACTATATATTAATATATTATTTCGATATTATGAAGTATATAATAGTATAGGTACTTAACTAGTAGTACCTACTATATATTATTATGATAGTTGTAGGTGATCGGTTAAATGTAATAGACACTCATTATTCCAGTGTCACTTCACTTATGTGACGTGGAAGTCTAACGTTTTATCGATCACTGTGTATTAATAGTTGGTACCTACCTATATATAATATCCATGAATAATATATAGTTAAGTTTTGAAAATTAAAGTATATTATTATTGTATTATATTAAATACCTTTGACAAAGTGTCTTCACTGGAAGGCTTCTTAAATCCGTCCTTTCCTCAAGCCACTTATTCATTCAATTATCTATTTTACATATTGTTCATATTTTTATTGTAACAGATTGTAAATAAATAAAAATTATAAAAATAAAAAAAATAAAAAAAAGTATTAAATACCTACGATGTACCGTAACATGGGTACCTATATAGCTGTATAGGTATATATATATATATACGATTTACAACAGGATGTTTTTTAATCATAACAATTCGATGTAGGTAAGAACCTATATTAAACTTTAGGACAATATAAATGTGTTGAAAACCCACAATATAATAACGATTAATGCTTATTATGCTACATAGACGATTCCATTATAGAAGTATATCCGAATAATCTAATAACATAATAATATTATAATATATAATAACCATTTGCTGATCGATATTAACCTTATATCGTATCGCATCACCATTTATTGTGTGTGTGTGTGTGTGTGTGTGTGTGTGTGTGTGTGTGTGTGTGTGTGTAATGAGTATACAGTATACTCACGGCCATCAAATTATATGAACGTGTTATATAGATATGTAGTCCTCCAAAACGTATTTTGTACACTCATATCGACCTCCAACTATTTTTTCATAGATAGGTAATAATATATAGGTATAGGTACTTTTTGATATTTTATAATTATCAATTATTATGGATTAGCACACGTTTTCAATGTCTTTTAATTATTACATTTTTTACATGTATCCTAGCTACATAGCGTATCTAGAATTCCAGAAAACGTTTGTAGACAAGGATGCACTTTATTTTTTAACCATCGAAGAATCGCATAATTAAATTAAAATAATATAATATATTGTGTAGGTATAAAAGTATTATGGTATATTTTATACAAATGAATAACATCTAAATAAGTAAATGTTTATAAACTATAAATATTAAAATTGTCATATATATATATATATAAGACGTATTGGAAAATAATAAAACTTACAAAATATGGAAAATCCCATTAATAAATCATTTCATAATTCATAACTATCCGAGTATAAATATGATTACATGCGTGCGGAATAAAAATAAATCGTTGTCGATAACACAAGGCAGGTAGTCCTCCGGAACT